GGCTTAATGCCCAGCACCATGAAAAGTGGGCGTGGTGAAGCATGCCTATAGTCTTAGCACTCAGGTGGCAGAGGCCGGAGGATAATAAGTTCAAGTTCACTCTAGGCGGGCATGAAGTTTGACACCAGCCTAGGCTATGTGAGACTGTTGCAAAAAAAAAAAAAAGAAAAGAAAAGAAAAGAAAAGAAAAAAAAATCTATGTGTGTATATATATATATATATGTGTGTGTGTGTGTGTATACAATTAAAAAAAAACTAGGGAGAGTGGAAAAGAGTTGTTTTTCTTTTTTCTTCCTTTGTGAGCTTTACTCATTCTTACTCCTTCCTTTGGTCATTGAGAATGCTTTGGGACACTTAGTTTAGCAATTCTAACCCATTAGAGATAATTCAGAGGTTGAGGGTACAGCTACAGGAGTAGAGTACTTACTTGCTTAGGACGAAGACCCTGGATTCAACTTGGCACTATTGAAAAAAGAAGTTAAAAACTAGATTACTAGGGCTGAGAGATGGCTCAGAGGTTAAGAGTACTGACTGCTCTTCCAGAGGTCCTGAGTTTGATTCCCAGCAACCACATGGTGGCTCACAACCATCTGTAATGAGATCTGGTGCCCTCTTCTGGCTTTTATACATAACAAATATTTTTAAAAAAAACAAACCCAAAACTAGATTACTAACAATTCTGCTTCATCCACTATAATTTGGGTAAAACTTGTGTTGTGGTCATTGGTAAGAAAGGGGGCTGGAGAAATCAAATCAAATCAGAGAGGGAACTCAATCCACAAGACACAGAAAACAGCAGGACCTACAAGTGGGTTGTTCCTGATGTGACATGAATCTGGATCCATCCAAAGGGCTGTTAAAACACATAGATAGGCAGTTATGCCAAAGTAGATCTGATCTGAGACCCAGAAATTTAATTGGTAACAAATCCAGGATGCTGCTGCTGTTGCTGGCTTGAAGCGTACTCACTTCGAGAGTAAGAGTTCTAAGGAAACAGTAGTCACGGTACAGCTGTGGCTGACCTGTGACTCAATATGTAGACCAGGCTAGCCTTGACCTCCAGAGCTCCCTCTGCCTCTGCCTTTCAAGTGCTGTGATTAAAGGTATGCACCACCACAGATGGCTGATCATGTAGGTTTTAAATACTCATAACAGTGTTACAAGTTTATTACATGTTCAACTATTCTGTATATAAATACATACACATCCAGCACATATATACATACATACATATATAAAAATGTATACATAAAAAATCTAACGTACATATTTATGGTGATGGAAGAGAGAGAGAAAGAGAGAACCTAAAGGGTTGCAACTGATACAATTAGTAGTTCAGGAAATTTTCTAAAATTTAACTTAAAAAATGTGCACTTAAGGACTGCTACAGAATCCAACGGTATGGGAACAGACCCAGCCGATAAGGCGTTTTGGTTTTTTTGTTTGTTTGTTGAGACAAGGTTTTACTATATAGCCTTGACTGGCCTGGAACTCTCTGTGAGTTCTAGAAATCTGTCTGCCATTGCCTTCCCAAGAGCTGGTTTAATCACTGATAATAGATAAACCTGGAAATAAATAGTACAAATTCAAAATTGTTGCTAGCAGTAAAATTTAAAATAAGAACTTTATCTTTGTGTGTCAGAATCATACATAATCTTATTTCAGTTTTTTGCAAATTGATGTGTTGGTGTATAGTGCTGGAAATTGAATCCAGGGCATTTTACATACTGCACAAACATTCCACCACTGAGCTACATACCTGGATCCAACTAATCAACAAAACAAAACAAAACAAAAAACTAGTCATTAAAAAAAATTCATTTGGCAAATGTACTATTTGTAGCTAACAATCACTTATTAAAAAACAAATTTCTACCAAAATTCTTAGATATACAACACCTGATTTCTGGACCCAGCTGAGTTTTTATTTTACAGACCAAAATGCAAGAAAGAAAAATATACTACAGTAATTAATGAAGCCGCTCCAACTTTGCTTGGAGAGATTTAAAATTCCCAGTGATGGCTTGTACTGCTCCCGAAGAACTCATTGACTGGAGTTCAACCAGGTAACCACAGACAGCATCCAGGCAGAGGTTTGTAAATCTTCTCCTGTAAGGGAAAGACATCAGGTCACCCGTTTACTTCTGTTTTAAAATAATGATTTATTCTTCTATTTTTGCATGTAGGAGTGCTTTGCCAGCGTGTGTGTATGTGCACCATGTGCATGTCCAGTACCCTCGGGGGCTAGAAAAGGGCACCAGGAACCCTGCAGCTGTTGCCATGAATGGCTGTGGCTGCTGTGTGGGTGCTGGAACTTGTACTCAGGACCTCTGCAAAAGCAGAAAGTGCTCTTAATCTCTGAGCCCTTGATTTAGACCCTCAACCACCTATACTTAAACCCACTTCCTTCAAAAGGCTGCTTCAGACCAGGTTTTGATTAACTTTCTAACAGCCCCATTGGAAAGCAAGGATTAGAACACAGTAAATGGTAAGTAGCAGGAAACAGAGAGGGGAATAAGGTGGAGGTCAGCTACCTTATAATCACCATTTTCAATTTGAAGACGGTTAGCTGAGGAGGCACTAGAGGATGATTCCTGTTATAATTATTTACACCTTTTCAGCTTTCAAAAAGACTTTTCCTTGAAATCATACCACAAAGACATAATAGAAATGTCTCGGTCCTAGGTCATAAGAAGGAGCATAAAGTAGTTGTAAATTATTTTCACTTTAGAAAATTTAGGACCATGGTTGAAATTTTTCTGATCTTTCATGAATGCTAATGGTCAGGTGATCATTTAAATAGTTATTGCTAACGTACCTAAGAAATTCTCTAATGCTTCTTTGTAAGATCTAGAGCAGTAGTTCTTAACCTGTGGGTAACAACCCCTTTGGGGAAGGCATATTATATATTTACATCATAATTCATAACAGTAGCAAAATTACAGTTATGAAGTAGCCATGAAAATAATTTTATTTGGGGGGGTCACCACAACAGGAAGAACTGTATTAAAGGGTCGCAGCATTAGGAAGGTTGTGAACCACTCACTGTTCTAAGAGCATTCCATATCCACTCTCAACTTGTTACCCAGGTACTTACTAGAAACACTTAAACCTTTTTCTATAATACACTATTTAATTTATAATTACCTCTCACAATTTAAAACTTGGCTTGGATTCTCAACATATCTTGTTAGTAATACATGGATACAATCCAAAAGGTGCAGTGGCCTTTTCACTCTGTTCCAGAATGGATCCTATGAAGAGAAAAAAATATGTATGTATACACAGACACAGTTTATCTTACAACTCATCAAATATATGTGTGTGTATGTGTATTTTTCCTATTTATTTATGTTGATTAAAGAAGTCTTTGGAATCCAAGCAAAATTTCTTTAAATAGCATAAGAAGCTGAACATGGTGGCACATGTCCTTAATCCTAGTCCTCCAGTGAACATGGTAGCACATGTCCTTAATCCTAGTCCTCCAGAGGCAGAGACAGGCAGATGTCTGTGAGTCTGAGGCCAACCTGGGCTACAGAGTGAGTTCTAGGACAGCCATTGCTACATAGTAAGACCCTGTCTCAAGAAAGCAACAAACAAAAATAATAAAAGACCACATTGTGATACTTTTTAGGAAGAATAACTGATTTATCATTAGAACATGTAATATGAACTTGAAGAAAAACTGGTATTTCTATGGGCTGTGACCCATTTTCCTTTGAATTTATGCAGTCTGATCCTAGAGTAAAAGAACCTAGCAGTCACAGAACCGTAATCTGTTATCACCTACATTCTGGAAGGCATGACTAGAAGGCCCCAGGATGCACCTGTCTGTCCCTCCAGTATTGGGATTATAGACATACACTGCTGCATTTAGTTTTTATATGGGTTCTTTGAAGCAAACTTGGGCTAGAAGCACTTTACTTCTAGGCTAAGATCTCCCTATCCCCTACAAAAGATTTCTTTAAAAATGAGGTTACATGAATAAATGTGCTTAAAGCAAGTAGGGGGGGGATTATAGTCTCGTGGTAGGACACTTGGCAATCATATGCAAGGCCCTAAGATCTGATCCCCAGAAATAGCCCCTACTTTGGTTTACTATTAAGACACGAGTAAGTGCATATACTTATGAGTTTTTTTGTTTGTTTTTTAGGTAAAAGTTACTCTATGTAACAGCCCTCCCTCCCTGGCTGTCTTGGAACTTGCCCTGCAGACCAGGCTGGCCTCAAACTCACAGAGATCTACCTGCCTCTGCCTTGCAAGTACTGGGATTACAGGTGTGCGCCACTATCGCCTGGTTAATTATATGTTTACCTATATGAAATATTAGTATTTCAAAGCAAAGCAACCCTCAGTTAAGAGTCCAAAGTTGATTTTACTTACACAGTCGAAGCCAATCTCCATTGAAAGCATTTAGCCTAAATGATAAGATACCCACAAACATGCGATCAAAATACCTCATTCTGTATCTTGGGAAACCTGGGAAGATCATTTTATTTTCCTTACCCGTGACTTGAAGAGCTGATCGTAAACTTCTAGTAGTCTAGGTAGAGGCACTCCAATGTCATTCATGGTCTGTATAACAAAACCAACATCCCAGTTCAGAGTACAAACTTGCTGCTCCAGAAACTGCACAATAAAATCTGGAAAAGACAATTCAGAAAATCGGATGAGTGCTTTGCTGGCATGTACGAACGTACACCACGTGCATGTCTGGTGTCAGTGGAGGCCCGAAGAGGGCATCCCACCTAGAACTGCAGTTACAGACATTTGTGTGTCCCCATGTAGGTGTTCTCACTGCTAAGCCAGTATCCAGCCCCAGAAATATGGAACTGTAACTCTGGATTCAGCGAACTGCCTGTTTTACTATTAAGTGAGCAGTTTCTAGTGGCTCTCGGAAAAGGAATTTCAAACACATCTGGGGCCAGGAGGCAGGTCATTTGGGAACATGGTTGCCTTTAAGGCATCAAAACCAAGTTTGACACCATGTGAAAAAGCCAGATGTGGAGCTACAAGCCTGTAACCTCAGCAGTGGGGAGAAAGAGACAGGTGGATTCCTGGGGCTTGCTGACAAACTGGCCTAGCTTACTAGGACTCTCCAGGCTACCCTATCTCTAAACAAACAAACAAACAAACAAACAAACAAACAAACAAGCTAAGTAATAATTAGGAAAGTTTCCTGACCTCCATATTGATGTTTATGAATGTGCATAAGCACCCACTCTCTCTCTCTAAACAAAAAACATAGAAAACATTTTGGGG